TATGTATATATATACACACATACATAAATGATTTCAAAATAAAACTGTAAAGTAGTTAAGATAGTCCAGGAAACAGTTATTGTACAGATTTTACAGTTTTTAGGGATCAGTAAATTGAACCAAAATGTGACTATTGGACTGGGGATGTAGCTCAATGGTAGAGTGAGAGCCAGCCCTTCCAAAAAAGAAAGAAAGAAAGAAAAATGCTGTGGATTTATTGTTTGTTTTACAATTAGTGACAGAATAAAGACTGAGTGACACTGTTCCCTTACTTGGCTTTTTGAGCCTTTCACTGGTCCTAAGAGCACTGGAATCTCACAGTTGAGGGAATCAAGTAGAAGCCAAAGGCTTGAAGAATAACCTAAGAGTCAGTGTTTAGGATTCATAAGAAAGATGATGGACTCATACTGCTATCTATACATATAAAGGAATTGAACCAACAATATTATTTTTAGTAGTGCATGTATGAGGAGGACACCATTAATTTGCAAAATCATTGGAAAGGGCACAAATGTTCAGATGAACAATAATGTGTATGATTTGAATGTTACATGCAAAAGTGGACCTGTGCAGTCATTCAATAGCTGTAGAAGTCAAAGAGCAAGAGCTGGAGGGTAGGAATGGGGGTAAGAATGGGAAGTTTGAGCATAACTAGAAAATCTAGGAAGGAGGATATTTAGAAGGAAGACAACTTTAGCCTTTGACGTGGTTAGTATGATGTGGTAGGGGGACAATCCACTGGTTGTAAATGGCAGGAAACATGGGTTAGGATTTTGGGAGAGAGACAGAGGACATGGAACACTGACAGTTAACATCATCAGCATTCTCTGGACCTCATGGAATGCTATTGACGGGAGGAGGTCTGGCACCTGGACAGCACTCTTCAGTGACTTCATCAACCTCATAAACCACAGGAAAGCAGCTTTGTCATCCCAAACTGGATATCCTTTATCCTCTGTACTTCATCTGACAAAGACTGGAGTTGAGTGATGTGAAGCACCCGGAGTCTGAGCTTTATGTTTTCCTCTCTTAAATTCCTTTGCTTTTCAAAGACATCATATTTGGCTTTAGCATTTTTGTAATCCACTTGTATTTGTGTCCAATATATTTATTCAGATATCCCTGTAGAGTTGTAAACAGTTACTTGTAGTCCCCCCAACCCCCAAACTAGCTCTTTTTATTTTTGAAATGATTTCTGTAGGTTGTTCAGAGCTTCACTAAGTTGCTGAGGCTGGCCTCAAGCTTGCAATCCTACTTCAGTCTCCTGAGTCGCTGGGATTACAAGTGTGTGCCTCTGCATCTGACAAAATAGGTGCTTTTTTAACAGTTGCGATGAGTTATAATGATACTGAGAAGGAACATAAATAAGTGAGCTGACTTTGGTAACCAATTCCACCTTATTGTGCAACAACTTCCCCATTTTGCATGTGTATGACAGAATTCTAAGATTGAAGAAGTTGTGGAGAGAAGGGGAAACTGGGGATTCTTTCAGTATTTTCCTTTTCAGGACAGCTCAAAGATCAAATCACTGTCATCTTGTGCAAAAAATGTGGGAACTGAAGGCTTTAAACAACACATCCTTACAATACACTGCTTTGCATAGTATTTCCTTATTACTTACAAAATTTATTGTAACATATTTCTCTTCTTTTACAGAGCTGTCAAATCAGTATTGGCTAGCCGGGTGTGGTGATGCACACCTGTAATCCCAATGGCTTGGGAGGCTGAGGCACGAGGATCCTAAGTTCAAAGCCGGCCTCAGCAACTCAACAACTTAGTGAGACCCTAAGCAACTCAGGGTCTCTAAATAAAATACAAAAAAAAAAAAAAAAGAAAAAAAAAAAGGATGTGGCTCAGTGGTTAATTGCCCCTGGGTTCAATCCCCAGTACCAATAAATAAGTAAATAATTACTGGCTAAATATTGCATGCAGGAGGCCCAGTAAAACACACACACACACAGACAGACACAGTCTGTATTAAAAGACCTAACTTCAAGAGGAGTCATTTATGACCTTCAGCTACATTCTCTTCTTCCTGACAACTGGGAAGTCCCTTTTAGAAAGGCCAAGCCTGGCAGGTATTGTGGCGCATGCCTGTAATCACAGCTATTTGGGAGGCTGAGGCAGGAGGATCACAAATTCCAGGCAGGCCTCAGCAATTTAGTGAGACCCTGTCTTAAAATAAAAAATAAAAGTAAAAAGGTGTAGGGATGCTGGGCATGGTGGTGCAATCTGTAATTCTAGCAACTCCGGAAGGTGAGGCAGGAGGATTCTAAGTTAAAGATCAACCTCATCAATTTAGCAAGGCCCTAAGGACTTAGCCAGCCCCTGTCTCAAAATAAAAATTAAAAAAGGGCTGGGAATGTTGTTCAGTGGTTAAGCACCCCTGGGTTCAATCCCAGGTACCAAAAAAAAAAAAAAAAAAAAAGGTAGGGATATGAACTCAGTGGTAGAGTGCCCCTGGTTTTAATTCCCAGTTCTGCAAACAACATAAAAGAAGAAATGTTAAACCACCATTTGACCCAGCTAGCCCTCTCCTTGCTCTATATCCAAAGAACTTAAAATCAGCATACTATAGTGATGCAGCCACGTCAATGTTTATAGCAGCTCAATTCACAATAGCTAAACTATGGAAC